CAACCTAATAGGTCCGTACTAGTACACTCAGGTCACAGCTGAGACTTGGTATGGCTGAGTGAGTGACCTAAGGTCACACAAACTGATAAGAGGTGGCAAGCACAGTGAGTGACTGTTTATCTGAAGACCCGAGTTTGCCCTAAGTGATCAACTGGGGCAGGGGGCAGGGGGATGGGTAGTAAGGGGCTGGACTACAGGATAACTTAGGTATGCAGGGGTTCAGTTGACCAAGTACCTCTATAACCATTATTTCATTTGATTTCATCACAGTGCTCTAATGAGAGGGGTCATTAGGGAAAATAATGAGATGAGTCAAGCCCGGCAACTCCTTAAAGAGGCAGACTCCAGGTTCAGGGCTTCAGGGCCCATTACCCAGCATGTCTTTAGCCTGGTAGCCCTGAGCAAGTCTGCAAGGCCTGGGAGGGGTCAGAGCCTGAGCTCTCTGTGGCCCCTATTGGCTCAGCTCTTCAAGGATCACTGAGTTCCTAGCAGCACTCCACCCTGTCTGGAAATCCTTGCCAGGCACTTCCCTCCCCTCCAAACCACCCAGTCCTGGAGACGAAGCTAAATGGCCCCAGAGTCAGTTTCCTGGGGTTAATAAACAGGCTGTTTATAGCCAGGAGCAGTCACGGGGCAGCAGGCCGGGAGGTCACGCTCCTTCTAAATGTTGAGGTTTCTTGTAAACATTCCGGCATGGACCTTCTGGGTGATGAGTGCAGCTCTGGGCCCATTGCCCTCGGGGCAGAGTGCCAGGGCCCCCGGCTCTCGCTTGCCTTCCCTCTCTCCTACTGTGGCTCTCCTCTTTCCTGTCTCCCCTCTCCCCACTGTGGGTCTCTTCTTCCCTCTCTCTGCCTGCCTCTGTCTCTCTCTCCCTTCCTTCTCTAGTGGGAAGAGGGTACAGTTTGCACAGTGGACACACCTGGTGACTGGGCAGGTCGTTCACCCCTCTGAGCCTCGGTTTCCTCCAATGCTAATGGGGGTAATAATGGGACCACCCTCACAGGATGTCTGGGAAGGTGCCTAGTGCTGTGCTGGGCACTCAGAGTGGACATTTAAAACATAGTACTCCAGGGGCCTGCAGGTGGCATGGTGGGTAAGGCACTGAACTCCCACTTGGCCAACCATGGTTCAGGTCCTGGACCCAGTGGCTTGCTTTCACATTGTCTCTCTCTGGTCAAATTAATAATAATAATAAATTAAATCTTTACAAACAAACAGAAAACAAAAAGCATAGTGCTCCCCTTTCTCCCCCTGTACCCTAGTCTGTCCCTGTGTCCCCCTTCCTGACCGCTGCCTTTTCCCCTTCCATTCTCCTGCTGTAGCCCTGACTCCACCTCCACACCAGCCCCTTTGCTCCTCTCACTGTGCCTCTGCTTTCTGGGAGGGTGGAAGAGGAGCCAGGCTTAATTGGGAGGAGGGCTAGCCACCATAGGCCAGGCCGACCTTGGCACCTCCCTGCAAGACCATGCCCTGGGCCTCTCTGGTTTTAATAAACAGTCCACAGCATTTGAGGGTGGAGAGAGCTGGTAGCATGAGAGAGGCCAAGCTATTTTAACTTTTGGCTTATTTTTTCCCTCCTTCTGGTGCTTCCAATGACTTAATAGTCAGAGGCAACTGTGTAAGCAGCTGTGTGACTTTGGGCAAGTCTCCTTCGCTCTCTGGACTTGAGTCAAGTATGGGATAGTGAAGAGCAGAAGAAGAACAGAAGTACAGACCCTCGAGCCGGAGGTTTGAGATGTACCCCATCTCCACCGTGTACCAGCTTAGATTACCACCCACGCTATGCCTCAGTCTCCTCAGCTGTAAAATGGCAGCTATAGTACCCCTGCTTCTCTAGGTTGTTTTGAGGAGGAAATGAGTGAGCCTGTTGAAATCACTTAGATTAGAGCCTTACCCATGGCCACTACTCATTGACATTAGCTGTTGTACGCAAATGAGAGGTGGAGCAGGGGTATGAACGCATGTGGGGAGAGCTGGATAATCTCTAAGGTATTCTAAAGTCCCGGAGCCTCACATTCCTCCTCACTGAGGACTTCTAGGTGAGAAAAGAACATAGTCTTGAACACAAAGTATTTGACTGTCCCAGGGAGATCATGGGAAACCAGTGACAGACTTTCAAAGCCAGATGTAGCCCTTGAAGATCCTTTGGCCCAACTTCCCATGGTGCAGAAAGAGCACAGAGAACCGGAGAAACCACCAGGATCTGTCCGAGATCACAGAGCTTTGACAGTTGTAGAAGTGAGGTGGTGACTTGACAAGGACAAAGGGATGGGCTGTCAGGGGGGTGATAGGATGCTGAGTGTCAGAGCCCCAGACTCCAGGATTGTTAGGGCAGGTGTCCATGCCATGGCTAAGATGCGGAGGTCACCAATGACAGCTTTGCCACTCATAACCATGTAAAGAGGGGGGACTATCCCAAGCACTGCCCCGGATGCTGTCCCGAGCATGATCTCAGTCCATACCTCACCCCCTTGTTACAGATGAGGAAAGATGCCTTGTCCAAGGTGAAATAACTAGAGAGGGATAGAGTGAGGATTTGCGTCCAGGTTCCTCTGATGCCAGAACCAAAGTGCTCGTGCAAAACTCTCCCAGTGTTTCCCAGTGGTTCCCTTGAGGCTGGACCCACAACCCAGACAACAAAGATCTTATATTTGTCTGACTGAGCTGGCCAGGGAGGTAATATCAATGGGTCAGCCTAGGCTCCTGGTCACTGTCCCAACCCTTTCCACCAACCCTCGTGTCACAGTGCGAACCCAGATCCTGCAGGAGGGCAGGTCCTTTCCTCCATCTGTCCCCACTGTCTGGAAAAGAAATAGTGACAATTCCCAGAAGAGGCAAGGAAGGAGAGCTGAGAGCCTGGCGTGAAGCTTTTGGCTTTTGGGTTTGACCTGCCGAGACGCCAATGCCTTGACTGGGGGTAGGGGGAAGAGCATGGACGAGTGGAAAGTAGTAGGAAAAGCGAGCTGTTCCTCTCAAAAGCATCAAGTTCATATTGTGTGAATCCGTCAGTTTAATGCAGTATGAGAAGCATCGCCCTTATTTATGTTGTCTTCCTCCCCAGGAGGACAGGAAGCACATCTGTTGTATTTACTTCTGCATGTTTAGTACCCGGCCCAGGGCCTGGCTAGAGGCCGTGCTCAACTCTATGTGAAAAGTGCAAGACTATGGAGGGGCAGGTCACTTCGGCTCTATAACCCTCAGTTGCCATGCCTGTACAATAGATACCACGGCAGTTCCTACTTCACAGGGCTTCGAAATCACAGAGGTCTGTCAGTGAGCTTGATCTTCTTACCAGCTGGGAAAGGTCGTGCCCCAGAGAAGTGAATCAACTTCAGTTACAGTTACCTGCCGGGTGGTGGGAGGGAGTGTCATCAGGCCCAGTCCTTGTCTTGCAGGGGATGAAGGTGGTGCGTGGTCATATGTGGACTCTGAACGGAGTGTCCTGGCTCATGTCAAACTCAAAGTAATTGTTTAAGGTTAATAGGAGCCACAAACGAGCGCACGCGCCCTATAGCGAAAACCTCTCAAAAAAAAAAAAATGCGTATTGGAACAGTTTGAACATAGAATTCTACCTTAAAAAAAAAAAAAAAAGTACCACAAAGAGGGGGACAACATGACCTACCCTGGCTCTCTAGCCCAACTCTTACTGGTAGACTCGCCAAGGCACCATCCATTTGCCTTTGGGGACTCTTCCCTTGGGGTTAGCTCTTCAGAAACCAAATACTTCTAGACTGACTGAGATGGACAAAACTTTAGAATTCTTTTTTTCCAAGAGAATATTTTTAAAATTTTCTATAGGACAAAGAAACACAGAGAGACAGAACATGAGAAATCATCCCCCAGGGCTATGGCCATGCTGCAATTCCTTCTCTTCCATTCTCCTCTCAGGATTTTGGGCACGCACGCACACGTGCCTGGTGTGAGTTTTAAGCCTCCGGGTCTAGGACTCGAACTGCGGTCAGCCATGTGGGAGAACAGCATGTAACTGTTACACCAGCTGCTGGTCCCAGAATTCTAATCTCTTTATTCACAGCATGGGGGAATGGAAGGTTTAGAGAGAAGGGACTAATCGATGGCACATATTGAGGTAGGTCAGGACTCCAGCCTCTCTTCGGCACTTTCTCACATATATGTCACAAGTCCCCTTGACACGAACATTGTGAGTTAGAGAAGGGGTAAGAATGATGTCACCTGACCTGGTCCTTGTTAGCTGTAGTCAGGTTAGGAGGAGAGAAGGAGGTATAAGTTACCCACCCCATCTGGTGGCTCTATTCCACAGCGTATTGATTCCCTGTGGTTCTCACTGATTGTAGGTAACCCCCAGGAAGTGGGAAGTGGGTTGTTCGCTGCTCAGTGGCTGTAAAGGCTGTCATTGCTGCCGTAGGGTTACCATCCCCATGAGCAATAACCCAGGACGGGTGGAGGACAGGTGGAGTGAGGCAAGCAGAGAAACAAGCAGGCTTCCTACCACTAAGAAATGGGGGAAAGGGTATGCATTTGTGTTCCAGCAATGTATAAGGATGCCCAAGAGTTAAGAAGGGACATTGTGGCTGAATGCTTGGAACTGTACTCAGCTTCAATGTGATTCTCACAGGTGCTTATATTTGCTGTGGGACCCTGGCCAAATCATAGCCTCTCAGATGAGAAGGTTGATTAAATAAAATAGTCTGTAGGGAGGCCAGCAGGTGGTGTGGTGTTTAAGGTGCTGGTCTCCCACATGACTGACCACAGTTCAAGTCCTGGACCTGGTGGCTTGCTTTCTCGCTTTCTCTCTTTCACACACACACACATATACACACACTCACTCTGTCCCTCTCTGGTCAAATTTTAAAAAATAAGTAAATAAAGTTAAAATAAAATAATTATTTCAAAGGTAATTATTTTAAAATAATTATTAGGAACAAAAGGCCCTCTCGTTCCTTCTGCCATGTGAGGGTAAGTGAGAAGACAGCCATCTGTGAGGAAGAAGGCCCTCACCACACACCGAAGCTACTGGCATCTTGATCTTGGACTTCCCAGCCTTCAGAACTGTAAGAAATAGATTTCTGTTCATACACCATCCAGCTTACAGTATTCTGATATATTATAGCAGCCCAAACAGGCTTTCAGGTTAACTCAACCGACCGAGTGTTGTCCAGGCCAGGTCCTGTTGAGGTGTAACTGGGAGTTCTGCAGAAAGGAGTTACTGTAGGAGGTAAGATTGCTATCCTTAGAGAGACCTACTATGGGCAGATTTTAGTTGGCACTTAGGGACTTCTGTTCCAGGAGGATTTCTCCATTCCCAGAACCAGGAAGAGTGGGTTACTGTGTCTAAACTACACAAACAATGCATTCCGTGTCGAACACCCACTGTGCTTCTGGGAGCCTGGAATTTTGGTGTGTGCTAGGCAGATGTCCGTGAAACTAGCTCGCAGTAAAAACCGTGGGCACTGAGCCTCTAATGAGCTTCCCTGTGGATGGCATTTCACACGTGCTGTCCTAACTCATTGCTGGGAGAATTAGCACATCCTGTGTGACTCAGCTGGGAGAGGACTCTTGAAAGCTTGTGTCTAGTTTTTCCTAGACGTTGTCCCATACACCTTTTCCCTCTGCTTATTTTGTAACTGTTTGCTGTAATAAATCATCGTGCATCAGTATGATTATGTGCCGAGCTCTGTGAGTCCTCCTAGCAAATTGCTGAATCTGGAGGTGATCCTGGGGACCCCCCTCCCCCGCAAAGAACAAGGTAAGTTTAGATTTCACAGCGTGTACCATAATCTTTCTGAAAAAATTATTTATTATTTGTTTTTTAATTTTAAATGTATTTATTTTACTTTCATTCACTGTACACCATTACAGCATGCAAAAGTGAGTTTTCCCATCCAGAATACCCTGTGTATTTGCTTAGTCAAGGAATTACCATACATGTTATGGAGAGTCTGCCATAATCATATTCCAAGGCTTATGACTACATAGTTTAAAACAGTGCTGTCCAGGGGCCAGCAGGTGGCCAACACAGCTGGGGTGCTGGACTCCCACATGGCTGGCCATGGTTTGAGTCCTGGACCTGGTGGCTTGCTTTCTCATTTTCTCTTTCTATGAGCACACATTTGCCCTGTAGCAAATTGAAAAATAATAATACTGATAAATAAAATTAAATAAATACTTATTTAAAAAACAAAATAGTGCTGCCCAATAGAAATGTGTGTGTGGGAACCCGCAGGTGACGTAATGGCTATGTCGCTAGACTCCCATGTAGTCGACCGTGGTTCGAATCCCGGACCCGGTGGCTTAGAACTCATGCCGGGCGCGTGTGCGTGTGTGCCCGAGATCCCAAGAGGAGAATGGAGGAGAGGGGATTGTGGCATGGCCATCCCTCCTGGGGGGTGATTTCTCGCTTTCTGTCTCTATGTCTCTCTCTGTCTGTCTGGCGAGTGCACGCACCCTATAGCAAAAACCTCTCAAAAAAAAAGTGTGTGTTACACATGTGACTTTAAACCTTCTATTAGTCACGTTTCAAAAAATAAAAAGAAATGGGGCTGGCAGGTGGCATGGTGGTTAAGGGTGTTGGACACTCACATGACCAACTGCAGTTCGAGTCCCAGTCCTGGCAGCTTGCTTTCTCGTTTTCCCTCTCTCTTTCTCTTTCTCTATCTTACTCTCTGGTCAAATTAAAATAAAGAAAGTTTAAAAAAACCACAAAAACCTCTTTTTAAAAAGCTAAAAAGAAATGAGTAAAATTAAGAACACATTTTCTTTAACTCAATATATTAAAAGTATTATCTTTTCAACATGTTATAGTGTAAAAGATCAATATGATAATTTTACATTCTTTCACTCACATGAAAGGTTCAAAAGACAAATGTATTATAAACTCAAAGCACATCTCAATTTTCAGTAGCCGCATTTCAAGTGCTTAATAGCCACACCTGGCTGTGACTACTGTGTGGCACAACCCTGGCTTGGGGCTAATGGCAAGGGCTCTGGAGACAGTGTATGTGGGTCAGAGTCCTGGTTCTGCCACTTACCAACTACATGACCTTAAGCAAAGTTACTTCAGATATTAGTTTTTGTATCTGTAAAATGAGGGTCGTAATGTTAGCTACCTCAGGAGGCTGCAGGAGTTTTTCAACACATTCCTAAGTCCACGGCAGCCCCTGCTGTGTATAGGAGACTGGGCGAGTGCTCACTGCTGCTCCTGTTATTTTATTTATTACATTTTTGCCCCTATTATCTTTAAGCTTGGCCCTTACAGTTCACCTTGTCGAACTTCTTGTCTCATAGATGAGGACACGGGGAACCAGAATTTGGAGAGCGTATGTAAAGCTCCAGCCATCCACCTCTTCTCGATGGAGGCCCTAATTTCCTACCTGGCTTTGAGATCAGCTTGACAATTATTTTGAAAACCAACAGCTCCAGGGCTCCCCTCGTTCTCCAGTTCCTCCTTGATTCCAAAACAAGAGCACGATTTGAAGTTGGCACAGAAGTGATGGGGTCTGTGCCTCCCTCTGGATGCCTGGGGTAGGCTAGCTGGCCCCATTGCCGAGTCCAGAACCTGACGCACTAACTCCGTGATTTCTGTTGGCTGTCATTGTTTTGGCTTTTCACCTCAGCCCTTCTTGTTTATTAACCCATATTCTTTCTTCCTCGAAGACACAGCCCATCAGTACTTTTAAAAAAAAATCTTGTTTTGGGCCAGCAAGTAGTAGTGGTGCTGAGCTCCCATGTAATTGACTTGAAACTCACACCGGGTACGTGCCCAAAATCTCAAGAGGAGAATGGGGAAAGGATTGTGGTGTGGCCATCCCCTGGTAGTGGTGGTGGGGGGTGATTTCTTGCTTTCTGTTTGTCTGGTGAACGCACAAGCCCTATAGCAAAAATCTCTAAAACAAACAAAACAACTTCTCACTTTCAGCCCTTGCTTACCCACCAAGTAGATATGTGGTGAGCTGCACTCCCTATACATATCTCGAAAAAAAAAAGAAGATAAAGAGGTGTCTGTTTGCCTGGGGTGCAGATTAGCACAACCTCATGCTGGAAGCACAGCCAGCTTGGGATTTTCTACAGCGTTGGTTTCCACCCTTTTCTTCCTGAAGTCCAGGGCAAATCACCTACTCTGCTCTAAGGAGTTACACAAACACAGCTCGCATACCTCAGCTCTTACTAGCAGAAGGAATCAGCCAGTCTTGTTGGCTCAATCATTAGCCCGCGCTGACCTGAAGCTCTGCCTATTCGATGCAGTTTTATCTGACGTTCACTTCTTTGGTAGACATTGGTATTGAGCATCTACCGTGTCTAAGCCCTGTGTGAGGAGCTGTCAGTGAAGCCTCTGTCAACTTTATAACTTAGTGCAGTAAATGGATACACAAGAAACGATGGTAAAGTACAACAAAGGGTTAATGTGGGAAGTGTCCGTTCAAGGAGCTAGAGTAAAGCAAGGGGGCCTGAATAAACTCTTTCCTCAGGCAGTGATAGTAATTGACACCTGAAAAATGAGTAGGACAGAACCAGTTAAAGACAAAGAACGCCGGCAGTGAGCAGGTGGTGTAATGGTTACTAGCTGGACTCCCATGTGGTTGACTGAGGCTCGAATGCTGGACCAGGTGGTTTAAAACTTATGCCAGGTGTGTGTGTGTGCGCGTGCCCAAAATCCCAAGAGAAGAACGGAGAAGAGGGGACTGCAAAGTGGCCATCCTCCCTGGGTGTGATTTCTCACTTTCTGTCTCTCTCTCTGGCAAGCACATGCGCCCTATAGCAAAAATTTCTCTAAAAAAAAAATAAAAGAGAGAGAAGAAATGTCAAATGCTCCAGACAGAGCGAGCAGAGTGAGCAGCAGAGATGAAACCAGGAGGTGAGAGAGAATGGCATGTTGGAAGCACTAAACATTTTCCAGTATAGCTGAGTAGAGGGAATACGAGCATGGCAAAAGGTGAAGTAGATAGATTTTGAGTGCATTGTCTGAAGCGGTAAGGAATGTGGACTTTAACCTGAGGGCAGCTGGAAACAGCCTGGTGGAGATCAACATCTTCCCAGAGTCCAAAGCAACAAACTGTGCTAAAAAGGCTGATGATGCGAAGGCCGAGAAGTACCGTGTTCCTGCTCGCCTCCTGCTCGCCGTCACGCTCTTTGTGCCAGTGGTCAGCCCTCCTTTGAGAGTGGACTGCAGCATGAAGGCCTCCTTAATGCCAGGGCATGGTCCCCTAAACTCCTTGCCCCATTATCAATGCAGTCAGTGTGTGTGTACACACACAGGTATACATATATATATATATACACGCACACAGAGAGAGAGAGAGAGAGAGAGAGAGAGAGAGAGGTTTTTGCCTTAGGGCGTGTATGCTCACCAGAAAGAGAGAGAAACAAAGACAATGAAAGGGAAAAGGGAACGTGAGAAGTCACCTCCTGGGGTGATTGCCACATCACAATCCCTTCTCTATTCTCCTCCCGGGATCTTGGGCACACAGGCACACACACGCAGCATGATTTTCATTCAACTGGGTCCAGGACTCAAATCGCTATCAGCCATGTGGGAGTCCAGTGACATAACCGTTACCCCATCTGTTGTCCCTGATATTTTGGATCATAGCAAGGGCTTGGTATCTCATGGCATTTCTTGGCCAAAAGAGCTCTTGAGAGAGCATCTAGCCCTGGGACTCACACCACCAGGGGTGCAGCCAGGCCAGCTGCCTCAGAATCACCTTTGGGACATGTCTCATTGCAGATTCTCAGCCTCTGCCCCAAAGGTTCTAACCCGTGACTGTGAGGGGAGGCTGCTCTGCCCTATAGGAAAAGCAGTCTAGTTGACTCTGATCCATTGGAGAAACACTAACTCCAACCCGTTCCCTACCTGCGGATAGGATCCTCTCTGGACAGCCCAGACCTGGAGTTGCCTGGTCTGATTATACACATCTTCAAGCAGAGAAACAACTTCGCTCAGTGACTGGTAATTCAGCAAGTATTAGAAAACTGTTGTGTGCTCGGCTCTGCCCCATGTGATAACCGTGGTCCCTACTCTCGAGGGACTTCCGGTCTAGGTCTGTTATTTACCTTAGAATGAGCCATCTAGCCAGAGTCAAAAAGCCCTCAGAGCTCATTAGCCAACCTCATCGTGACACAGTTGGGGAAACTGAGGCCCAAAGAGAGAAAGCAATGCCTACACAGGGAGCAGATGCATCTGGTGCTTCCAAACCTGAGGCAGTGCAGTGCCCTACCCAGGAGCCCCAGGGCTGCATCTGGGACACCCACTCTTGGTTTCTTACGCACTAAATCCACGTGTAGTCATTGTTCTTGCAAGTCTAAATGACATTTAAGTCCTTAACATGCAGGGAAGGGCCATCTCAGGTGGTTTGAAAACCAAGGACTGAGGTCATTGTTCTTGCAAGTCTAAATGACATTTATGTCCTTAACATGCAGGGAAGGGCCATCTCGGGTGGTTTGAAAGCCTAGGACTGAAAAGTGCCTCCCAGAAGTGAGTCTCCCGCCAGCTCTTGGGCGCCGTTTGGCCCCTTGTCCCGGCTGTCCTGGAGAATACTGCGCCAGGCTCTCCCGCACTTTGGAGCCTGAAAAGGGAGTCGCCTCACGCCTTCATGAGGACCCGATTCCCATCTCTGCCCAGACTTGCTTATGTCGCTGTCGCCCGGGGCCTGGGGAGGGAGAGAACCGAGGGCTAACCGTCCCCGCCCCTGAGATCCCAGCCGCCCAGCGATTGGCTGCACGGACTCTGGGCTGGCCGCGGATTGGTGTTAACGGAGGACTTGAAAGGTGGCTGGGAGCATCGGCCACCTCAGACGGACGGTGGCCCGGCATTAGGCAGCGTCTGCGGCGAGCAGAAGCGTCCCCAGCCCGCCATGGCCCGGCTCCTCCGGGCATCCTGCCTTCTCTCCCTGCTCCTGGCCGGCTTCGTCCCGCCGGGCCGGGGACAAGAGAAGTCGAAGGTGAGTTGAGCTTGCGGGGTGAGGGACCGGGAACGAACCTAGCCCTCGGGCGATCATCTCTCGGTGGCGAGGCACCCTCCTCGCGGCTCCCCCGCAGAAGGGCGACACCCGGGTGCGCGGGACGCCCTTAACTCGGGTTGCCTCGAGTTCCGTCATTGGGACTCCACCCGGCATGTCGATCTCTTCCCAGTTCCACCTGCTGGAGACCGGAGACTCGGGTGCCCGGGTGCCGGGGTGGGCAGAAGGGTCTCCCCTCGAGTTCCCGCTTCCCCACCCACTGCTGCGTCGGGGTGAGGAGGTCGCCTTGCTCAACCCATGTCACAAACCCTTCCCGTCCAGTCCTACCCGCGCAGCCCCACTCCAGAAGGGCCTGAGGGAGAGAGGGGCCCAGAAAAAGGCCCAGCGACTCGGCGTCTGGGTGGGCTGTGTCTGGTCCCAGCAAGCAGAGAGGGGAGGACAGCGTGGCTGGCGTCAAGGTCCTGAAGACTCGCTGGGGGCCCTTCTGGCCGAGAATAGGAACCCAGGTCAGATGCCCCCTGGGATTCCGGGGTGTTGGAAGGAGAAAGAGGCGGAGATCTGAGTCGGGAAGAGCTCTGGACTGCCACTGCGGAGCTCAGGATCCCAGGCCCCTACCCTTCCTGGGCCTCGGTTTCCCCATGAGGGGGGGGAGGTGGGGGCGGGCACAAAGCACTGACGACTTCAGAGCGGAAGCTGGAGAAGTTCCAAAGGCCACCACCGCTCTCTGACGAGCAAAGCTGATAGCTGGAGAAAGCTGGACACCGACAACCCCGAGAAGGCTGAATCCTCCAGCCTCAGTCTACCTCTAGCAGGGCGTGTCATCCTTGGCTGCAGTGAGGCCAAGAGTGGGTGTGACCCAACACACTTAGCTTCTTGGACAGCTGTGCCTGGGTGGGCCTGACACTTCTCTTCTTCCTCTGGGGCTCCAGAGTACGGGAGGCAGAAGCCAGGTGTAGGGGTAGACACAGAGAAAGAGATTTCTGTTTCCAACTCCCAACAAGCATCACACACACACACACACACACACACACACACATGTGCGCACACACGAGCATGAGATGGAGATTCTGTGTTTCTGATTTGGTCTAGAGGGTGCATGCACTCACCAGAGAGATACAGAAAGACAGAGCAGAGAAAGCACCCCTCATGGGGGATGGTCACGTGACAATCTCTTCTTCTCTATATCTCTGTCCCCTAGGGCTTTGGGGCACACATGCCACACAACTGGTGTATTTCTGTGCCTCACCCATATGGGATCTGGCTGCCTTAACCATCAGGCCATGGAGCAGGCCCAGAGCTTCCATGCTTCTAAAATCCTTTGAGTTTTTACTCTAAAATATTTGAGTCCACGATTCCATTTCCAAAATTCCACTTCTCAGGAAGCCCATCCCACACACAGTTCCATCTGTTGGTGACCCAAGATCCAGTGCATAGGGATGGACCTGAGACCTGGGTGCTCCAGGTGGGCAGAATGAACAGGAGAGGAAGGGCAAGAGAGTTCTGATGGCCTGAGAGTCGGGGGATGGGACTCAGCCAGGACCCTGACTGCCATGGGCTGCTGGTCTCAGGGTTTCTTTTGTCTGCTGCTAACCCCCTTTCTGTGCTTGGCCGAACCCTATTAGTCTGGCCCTCCTTAATCGGAGACTGTGGGTGTGAAGCCATTTTGTCTAAGTCTCCTCCTTTGTATGCAGTGCTGTTGGTAAGCCCCACCTCAGCATTTTCCAGGGTGGGGATGGGACTGAGTTTCAAGGCTGGGGTGTGGGGTAGAGGTGGGAGTGGACCATAGGCAAGCCAGCATCATGGAGTCAGTCCCATCTCGGTCAGTTTAAGGGGAGCAAGAGAAGAGACAAACGTGTCTTGTCTCAAGGAGACGGGAGATGAGGATGTAGACTCCATGAATAACGCATCACAGCTGTGTGTTCACAGAACCCCGGGGAGGGACAGCTGCATTCGGAGAGAAGAGGGGGACGGGTCAGGAGGTTTTGGGGTGATATGAGATCATATCAGAGACAGCCAGCAAGGCCTAATGGCAGCTGGGCATGGCCTCTTTCCTCCAGGTCCTCAGAGCTGAGATGTTACAGCTCTGGGTCCAGGACCCAACCATTTACCTTGGCCCCAACCCCAGAGCTAAGGGATCAGGGTAGGGGGTATGCAGTGTGGAGAAGGGATGGACAAAAGGTGACTCAGCCCCTGAGGGATGTTTGCCTCCTCTTGATTCAAAGGGAGGACCCAGGGAACAAAGAGAGCCCTCCTTTCCTTGCTGTATTCCCTCCCCAGTCCAGCTTAAGGCTGCCCAACCTCCCTGTCCTTACTCTGCAAAAGGACTCCGAGAAGCTGCTGAGGCTAACAGCTGCTGACGTGCATGGGATCCTAGTAACCGCTGGTTTCTAGGTGACCGAACGAGGCAGAGGGAATCATGGCGCCACAGGCTGACAGTCAGAGTTGAAGGGCCCTTCACGGCACTGTCACTCCATCTTAAGCGGAGGAGCTAGAGTCCTTCCAGAGAAAGGAACGGAGTCACACAGCGAGGCAGGCGCAGGCGCAGCATGGCCCAGAGCTCAGGTCTCCTGCCCCTGGGCGGGTTCTCCTTGAAGGGCCCTTCACGGCACTGTCACTCCATCTTAAGCGGAGGAGCTAGAGTCCTTCCAGAGAAAGGAAAGGAGTCACACAGCGAGGGAGGCGCAGCATGGCCCAGAGCTCAGGTCTCCCGCCCCTGGGTGGGTTCTCCTTCCACAGCATTTCAGTGATGGAAGTGCATGATGGGAGAGGAGACACAAGACCAGCAGCCCACACAGTTAGAGTCCTCACTGAGTCTTGTCCTCAAGTCTCAAGCCAAGAACTCTTTCTTGCCAACGATGGGAGGATTGAGGCAATCTCGCTGGCTCTTCCCTTTGTCTTCTTTGGCCAACCTCTTTAAGGTGCAGGGCTCATGGGCTCAGAGGGGAGGGAAGAAGGCTCAATTGAGGCCTGAACTGCAGTACTCACTGTGAGCACTGGCCATGGCTTCCCCCACCATGGGCCATCCTCCGGCCCCCATCAGCCCAAAGCCCACAACACAAGCCTCACCAGCTCCAATAGGAACTGGGGACTTCATCCCTCATCCTTCCTCCTGAAGACACCTTGCCTAGCTCATCCTCTTCTTCACTCTGGTGGGGGAACATCACAAACCTCTTCACAATAACGTAGGACCCGTGGACCCTCTGTAATTGCATGTAGAGGAATCACTGCCTCTTGACATAGGGACTTCTTCAAAGAAGCTTTCAAGCCTGTTTTGATTTCTCAGTGGGTTTTCACAGCCATGTTGGGAGGCAGCAAGCCCATCTCCTTGCACAGTACTGCTCAGAGATTGAAAATGGCTTGCCCAGGGCCACAGAGCAAAAGCTAGAAGCTAATGGAAGGGGTGCCCTTGGCCCCACCCCCACCCTGAATCTGCCCGAAAGCTGATCCTCCTGTTGTTTACAAGCTCCAATTATTTGGACGATCTTTTTTTTTCTCTCCACTTTCCAGAGTTCATTTTTGGACTGGGGAAGAGTGGAGGAAAGGGAGAGGCATTTAGGCATTTAGGCATTTAGGCTTTCGGTCTGCCAAACCTCTGGCCAGCTGGGGTGTGTTTGTTGTGCTCTGGCTTGTTTGCATGTTAAGGTAGAACTCACTCCAAACAGGGTCAAGGAGGCCCAGAGGCAGGAGGAACATTGAGCTTAGTCTTGCGCCTGCCTCTAGCACCCACAAAGACACGAGGTGTAGAATATTAGACTGATGTAAAACAGGAAATTTGCATCAGAGACAAGAAGGGCTTGCAGCTGCCAGGAAATGGACTAGTGGAGGAACCCCTGCCTCGACCTGCTCAGCAAGCCCAGGGCATCTTCCTGACAGAGGCAGCTCTGCACCCCACTGGGGCCACGCCCTGCCAGCTCGGATCCTGCCCTTCACCCAGTTAGGACCAGGGGCCTTGGGTCAACAGCAAGACAGGGAGAAAATCTGCTTCTCTAACTCCAACACGTGTTTCTGGCCTCTCCTATTCTCTGCTCATGGGGGCCCACCTGGTCATTGTCTTCCGACCTCTCTCACGATGTCGGGCCAGCAAGGACCTTGGAGATCATCTAACATCATGGTCTCCAGCTTTTTGTTCTCCCTTCGGAACTGGCCCACCTGCTGAATCATGGTAAACTCAGAATTTTGCAGTCAGCGTCAAGGCTGACGTAGGCCCAAGGTTTTGCAGTCAGCGTCAAGGAAGAGGTAGGGGTGGGGTGGACCAAAGGCCATGACTCCTTGACCAGCAGTAATCCCATCCCCTCTTCTACGCTGAGAGTGATGCTGTCAAGGCATCTTGGTTGACAAGGTTGATCAGCTGGTCCAATCCAAGGTTCTCATTATTTAAATGAGGGAACTGAGGCCTGAAGGAGAAAAAGGGCCAGGCTAAGGCCATGCATGGAGTTAGTGGCAGAGGTGGAGATACAACCCAGGGCTCCCAATCCACAGTCCATTGCCCTCTGTCACTCCTTGTCCCAGGTTGACAGTTGACTAGAGAGGAAGGTGTAATGGTCATCATCACAACTGCTTGCTGAGACAGATCATGTAGCAATACATGCAGGGCGGCATGGTGGTTAAGGTGCCGGACTCCCACATGGCTGACCACAGTTCAAGTCCTGGGCCTGGCAGCTTGCTTTCTCATTTTCTCTCTGGTGGGCATACATGTCCTATAGCAAATTAAAAACAAAACAAAACAAAAAATCCCTACTATTAAATAAGTAATTCTTTAAAAAATAATAACACATGTAAGCACTCTGTCACTTCACTGTCAAGTTAACCCTCATGACAGGTTAGTCCCCATTCCCAGCTCCTGGTCCTGCTTCCCTATTTTATAACAACAGCCTCATCTAGATTAGGAGTCTCTGAATCACCACTCTTCATACTGACACTTCCTTCTTTCCTTACCCAATTCCTCCACAATGGCCTTTTTTGGGCCCTCATTAGCACTTTCCTGGATTATTCCATAGCCACCCAACCAGTTTCCATTGGCTCGTTCAGTACCAGTGTCAGGGGAGTCTCCCTTGGAGCCTGGTAAATTTTTTTTTTAATCACTTATTTATTTAATTCTATTTATCACTATTATTATTTTTAAATTTGCTACTGGGCACATACATGCACTTACGAGAGAGAGAGAGAGAGAGAGAGAAGCAAAGCAAACTGCCAGGTCCAGGACTCGAACTGGGGTTGGCCATGTGGGAATCCAGTACCTTAACCACCACGCCAGGTGGCGTGGTAAATGTTCTTAGACTGGCATGTAACATGGAAGCAATCATGACAACAAGTCATCCTCCAGTTCTATAGCATTCACTTATTAAGTGCTTACTATTAGGTGTTTAACCTTAGTACATATTAAATGCTTTTACAATGATCGCCTTTTTAAAAAATTAGATTTATTATTATTTTTTCAATTTGACCAGAGAGAAAGGGAAAATGAGAAAGCAGACCTGGGACTTGAACTGAGGTCGGCCATGTGAGAGTGCAACACCTTTATCACCAGGCCACCTGCCAAGCCCCGCAGTTGTCATCTTATACAGGAAATTAGACCTCAGCTCTAGTCTAGTGACAATGCTTGGTGAGCTCTGGGGCATGTAACTCTCCCTATGGGATCTTTCATTATCTTGAAACTTGAGATGGCCAAATTCTTTTCCACTTCTAACCACTCCTGGTATTCTTGTTCCAGACTGACTGCCATGGTGGCGTGAGTGGCACCATCTACGAGTACGGAGCCCTCACCCTTGACGGGGAGGAGTACATCCCTTTCAAACAGTATGCTGGGAAATACATCCTCTTTGTCAACGTGGCCAGCTACTGAGGCCTGACAGGCCAGTACATTGGTAAGTGCCCACCCTTCCTTTCCTGCTTTATTTGGGGCTGTTCTTCCACTTGGGCGTATTTTAATCATAAGAGTGTTTTTGCTACAAGGGAGAAGAGGTGACAGTGATCATGTTCCAAACTGTCTCCCAACTCCACTGTTTTCCATGGCCTTGAGGATTCTGTAAGCCTGAGGTCTGCTGTCTTTAGACATATCCTAGGAGATTTCTGGTTATCCTTCTTCCCGGAGGACCTCAAGTGCCTGAAAATCAGAGGGGTGGAGGAGAGGCGTTTGTGCCTGGCGCTCCCTCTGGCTGGAGTAAGAAACGGCAGCTGGAGTTCCTCTTGAGCACCTCCCATCCTCCCTCAGGCTTGGCTGCCTGGGCGCCTCTCCCAGGCCTCTCTGCACAACAGACAGCTGACCTGAGGTCTCGGTGTGTGGGGACAGTGGGGAGGGGCCTACGCTTCTAATGTCCATTCTAAAATACATTTTAAAGATGATCCAGTTCCACCTTCCCCTCTCCTTAGTTTATAGAGAAGGAAAACAAGACTGAGAATGAAGGTACAACCTACCTTAGGTCACAGACTATCAGCGACAGAACCAAGCATTTGATCCATTTTGTGACCCCCTAATGTCCTCACTCCTTTCTCTTTAGCTGAGGCAGAGGCTGAAGTCCAGGCAGGACACAGGCATGTGGGAGCACCAGGGAAGATGCTTTGAGGCTGAGTGCAGCCTGCTGGGGGGGATAGACGGGCCGGGGGAGGCAAGGGCAGGGTGGCCCTGAATGTTCTGCCTGGCAATCACAGGTGCATTCCTGGAGTGGGCTGACAGCAGCTGCACGGCCCAGGGGCTTCTGTCTAAGCCACCGGAACAGAGCAGAGCGCCTGTGCAAGACAGGCTGGAGCTGGTGCTGCCCGCGATGCCGGGGGCACCGAGGGAATGGGGAGCTGCACAGGGTCTGTCTTGGGTTTGACTTCCTGGAGTAGGTGTGAGGGCCCTGACCTGCCCCAGTGAAGCCCTCTGCCTTCCACCCAGAGATGGAGGTCCAGGACACCACCAGGAGAGCTCTGAAAAGCCCTGGCCCAGGCCCAGGAGGCAGGCCCTGGTGTGAGCAGGTGGCTGACTACAGGTTTGAGAAACAGTAGTTCTCTCAAACCTCCAACCCATCTACACTGGAGTCAAGAGGGGGCTTGAATTCTAGCACTGTCACAAACTCAGTGGGTGCCTGGGCGAGCCCCTTCTCCCCCAGCCTGACGATGCTTGGTGAGCTCTGGGGCAAGTAACTCTCCCTGTGGGATCTTCCTGTACGATGGCTGAGCAGGGCGAATGTGCAGATGCGCAGGGCTCGGCACCAGCTGCCCCATGTCTGCTCTCTCCCTGCCTCAGAACTGAATGCACTACAGGAAGAGCTTGCACCATTTGGTTTGGTCATTCTGGGCTTCCCTTGCAACCAATTTGGAAAACAAGAACCAGGAGAGAACTCGGAGATCCTGCCCACCCTCAAGTGAGTGCCCACTCAGCATCCTGAGAAAGCTCCTCTGGCCTGGCCCCTATCTGGATGGACATCCATCAGCCACCCAGAGCCACTCTCCCCTTTCGGGAAGCCTGTTTGGCAGAAAAAGGGACAGAAGGGGACAGGAGAGGGAGGACAGAGGTGACTACGTGTGAAGGGCATGGTAGGGGTGAGAGGAGTATGGAGCTGGGGGTGGGGAACTGGGAAGAGGCCAAGCTGGGCAGAGACCCCAGACCCATGTCCTGCCCATGTGCATTCAACCTTCACTGGCTCCTACCGCCACGGCAGAGCCAGACTCCCAACACCCTCTCATTTCCGAGCCCAGTGGCCACCCCCTCAGGACCCACACAGAACTTTCCTTACAGGTATGTCCGGCCTGGTGGGGGCTTCGTCCCTAATTTCCAGCTCTTTGAGAAAGGGGATGTGAACGGGGACAAAGAGCAGAAGTTCTACACTTTCCTGAAGGTGAGTGCGTGCCACCTGCTGGATGGGTCCCGCCCACAGACCAGGTCCCTGGGCTCTTGGGAAGTTTCTTAGCATCTGTGCAGACCCTAGGATCCCGTCACCCCATTTCACAGATGAGGTCCTGACCGGGGAGGGGACACCCAGAAAGGACAAGCTAAGGGTCTCACGATCTTCTAGAGCCATGGCTGGGATGGGTCAGTCTTCAAGCTGGTGCTCTTTTCTCAGTGCCAGGCTGTTCCCCCATCGCCATGAAGGCCTGAGGGGATGGGGGAGGGTGGGAAGGGCCCCAAGCAGGGTTGACACTACTCTCATCCTTGCTCCAGAACTCCTGTCCTCCCACCTCGGAGCTCCTGGGCACACCTAGCCGCCTCTTCTGGGAACCCATGAAGATCCACGACATCCGCTGGAACTTTGAGAAGTTCCTGGTGGGGCCTGA